GCTCTACACTAAGAATCATGGAATTGACACTGTATAGTGCCATAGAATCTGTCGATCTTGCATATACGGCCTCCAGGTACTCGTCCTCGGGTCCATCGTGGTAATTATAGGCGATCATCAGCCTCCAAGGTAGTCTGGGCATCTCCCCAGAGAGGACCCTGCAGGAATCAGCCTCGCGTTTCAGGAAATAGCTCATTGCAGAGCAGAATATGCTCAGATGGACCTGCTCCTTCTGGTCGCAGGTGCATCCTCGGCTGGTGGGCCATTCTGCTGTCGGCATATCGCATTTTTGGCACTGGAGAAGAGGCCTGCGGTATAAAGTTGGGGCCTCTGCGTCTTCATCTGCGTCTTATGTTTTGCTTAGCGTTCATATTCGTTATCAGTAGCATAAGATGGCTGCAAACGAGCTGAACGTCTACCGGGGCCCTGATGCCCTCAGGAAGTACTTTGACCCCGATTGTCAGCCTCCTCTACCCCTGGTGGAGGTTCCTGAGTACTTGAATCCCTACCATCAGGATGGGGTGCGCATCTACGCCAAAATGATGTCGATGCATCCTGCCAACAACGTCAAGGCAATGCCTGGTGAGCGTCCTGTGAGAATCGTAATAGCTACAGAACTAACGAAACCGCAGCATTGAATATGCTCCAGAAGAAAGTCGTCCCGGGTAAAACCAAGACCATCATCGAGTATAGTTCCGGGTCAACGGTGATCTCCATGTCGATGATCGCGCGCGTCATGCACGGCATCCACGACACGCGGGCCTTCCTCAGCAACAAGACCAGCGACGCCAAGCTGAAACTGATGCAGTTCTTCGGCCTGGATATTACCCTGTTCGGCGGGCCGAGCCAGCCTGAACCGTTTGACGACCGCGGTGGGATCCAGAGCGCCCGGAAGATGGGTCTGGAGTCCGACGAGGTCCTCAACCCCAACCAGTACGAGAACCATGATAACTGGGACTCGCATGTGCGATGGACGGGCCCGCAGATCCTCAGACAGCTTCCCGAGATCAACGTGCTCTGCGCCGGGATGGGCACATCGGGCACCATGACCGGGCTGGGGACGTTTTTCAAGGAGAACAAGCCGTCGGTGTTGCGGCTGGGTGTGTGCACTACGGCTGGGGACCGCGTGCCGGGACCGCGGTCGCTGGCGCTGCTGAAGCCGGTCGAGTTCCCTTGGAGAGAGGCGGTCGATGCCATTGAGGAAGTCAATTCGTACGATTCCTTCTCGCTGTCGCTGGATCTGTGCCGCGAGGGGATCGTCTGTGGCCCGTCGTCGGGGTTCAATCTACAGGGATTATTTCAGATGCTAGAGAAACGCAAGCAGACCGGGACGTTGGCTGAGCTAGCAGGGCCGGATGGCTTGGTCCAGTGTGTGTTTATCTGCTGCGACCTGCCCTACCAGTACATCGGCGAGTACTTTTCCAAACTGGGGGCGGAGAAATTCCATCCCATCAAGAACGAGGTAAGTCTGCTGTGCCGTATCTTCTGATCGACATCACCGAACTAAGCGTCGCAGAATCTTAGCAGAGTCGACATCTACCGCTACGACGAGAGCTGGGAACGAAGCCCCATCGTCCTTTTCACCCATTTCTACGAGTCTCCCCGCTCGCTCTCGGATAGTCTTCTGCGCACCATCGAGCTCAGACCACTCTGCTGCGTTCTCGACCTGAGAACGGCGGCAGATTACTCCACCTGGCATCTGCCGGGCTCCGTCAACATCCCCCTTCGCAGCCTGGACTCGCACACTCCCAAGCCATTTGCGGACCCCAGCGTGCTGGAAGCGCAATGGTTCGAGCTCGAGACCCTGTTCAAGGCAGAGGAGGCTCTGAGCAAGCTCCGCGGCCAGCATGTCTTGGTCATTTGCTATCATGGTGATACGGCTCGGGTGGCCACCAGCGTTCTGCGAGCCAAGGGCATCGAGGCCGATAGTCTGAGAGGAGGGTATCAGGCCCTGAGGGATCATGGGCTGTGGGGAGAGAACGATGTGAGCACTGGCGCTGGTACAGAGCATATGAAATCGTCGATTTCTGTTGAGACTGTCCCGTTGCAAGTGGGGTAATGACATGTGCTACTATGACTCGTGATTATGAGATTATGCCATTATGCTTTCATTTTCATTTTCATTTTCCATACTTCCATGTTTTCGTCTTTTCTCCAAGTTAGGGTTGGTCCGTGGTGTCCCTGTCTGCAGCCAACGCACGGATTCAGCGCAAATCTGCTCATAGCCATAGGGCAACTAACAGAATTAGATAAGAAGAAAACAGAATAATATTATCTGAACAGAAGAAAAAAGAAAGTCGGTCCACGCTCGACGCTAACAGGCTGGAAATGTGCTCAATTGTGAGCATGCCTGGTCCAATCAGCGACTAGCATTTACAGCCCTGAGGCGTTCAACTCTATTAGGTAGTTTGAGAGGTCTTTTACTTGACTCTTATAGCTGACTCTAGTACAATCCAGGAAGTATACTAAAGAATAGTATGGCTCTGGTCAGCTCTTAGCGTTCCTCTCTGTCCTGGCAGTTGCACCATTGCTATCTGCAGAGTTTGTTTCTCATCTTCTGTTTAAACCTCGACCAAGTCAAGCTCATCTCCATCTCAACTGACATAGATCAGATCGAGGTATCACGATTGCGGGATCTACTGTCGTGATCGTCTGCTTGACCACCCAAGATGATGGACATGTCCGGAGAAGGAGGCTCCGGCCTCCCATGGCTAGACCAGCCTGTGAGGCTTCATTCTTCCAGAAAGGACACCTGCAAATTGAGTCCGGAGCGATGCGCGTACCGTAGCGGTCACTGGCGATACTGGTATCTATCTATCTACCTTCTGTTGTCGTTGCAGTCGATTCTGCTGACACATTCAGGTACGAAGCGGACCATGTCTACGCCCTGAATACCGTCTACTTCATGTGTGCCACCATCGGAGTCTTCGCCATAGCACACTTTCTCTCCCGACGGGCTCCTGTGCCAGTGAAGCGCAGTGCTGTCTGGCGGAAGATGATGGCTGCCACGCGGTATCTGTCTTACCAGGGATACCAAGTTCCTTCCTTGCGGTACTGGTCGCCGTCTCTGGGTGTGATACTCCTAGGACTGGTGGGATTTGTTTTCTTCTTTGGTTAGTCTTATGCTAGCTGTACTTCCCGACTTCCACTGACATTAGATAGCCATGACCCTTGGCCCTAAGCCATACTACTGGCCTAATACGGCTACAGTTTCCTATGGAGGTAGTCCGCCGATCGCGACGAGAACGGGGTGGATGGCCTTGGGGCTTCTTCCTTTTGTGCTGTGAGTTACAAAGTACGCATGTTGCTGGCGGGCTTAACTGAGAAGTGAAGGGTACTGGGAACGAAAGCGAATCTCATCTCGATGTTGACGGGCGTACCGCATGAAAAGCTTCAGGTCTTCCATCATTGGGCCAGCTACGCCATGTTCGTCCTGGCGTTGATCCACACCTTCCCCTTCATCATCGTCCATATCCACAAAGGCGATATGGTCAAGCAGTGGAAGACACAGCTCACCTACTGGACTGGAGTTGCGGCGCTGATTCCCCAGACGTATCTGACCGTCATGTCCTTGCCAGCCATCCGGTAAGTCTGAGTCCCTTTGTCTCGGACAAGGTTTCATAGCCCTAACGATTTGTAGAAACCGATACTACGAGTTCTTCAAAGCGACCCACGTCACGGTGGCACTGCTCTTCGTCCTCTTCTTCTTCTTCCACTGCGACTTTCGTCTCACATCCTGGTACATATGCCCCGTCCACCTAGATGCCAAAGCTAACCTGGCAGGGACTACTTCATCGCCGCGGGCGCCCTCTACCTCTTCAGCCTCTGCGCAGCATACATCCGCACCACCCTCCTCCACGGCCGCCACAAAGCCACCCTTGACGTCCTCCCATGCGGCCTGGTCCGCGTCAAGATCCCCACCTTCATAACCTGGTCCCCAGGCCAACACCTCTTTCTTCGGTTCCTAAATCCCTCCCAGCTCGGCTTGCACTCTCTCACTGCCCACCCGTTCACCATCACCTCCATTGCACACGACCGAGCCACCCTGCTCAAACCCAATGAACTGATCTTCTACATCAAACCCCGCGGAGGCATCACCGCCCGACTCGCCAGCCTCGCGGCGCAGCGCCCGGGCACCGAGCGCACAGTGCTCCTTGAGGGGCCCTACGGCGGCCTCGCTGCCTCCAACGACCTCGCGCGATTCGACTCTGTCCTTGTCATCTCGGGAGGTTCAAGCGGTGGCTTCTCGCTGGGTATCGTGGACGCGGTGCTGGCCACGCCCTCGCCCTCGCCCTCGCCCTCGACCCTTCAGGTGATCTTCGCAACGCGCAACCAGTCAATGGCAGGGTGGTACATCGAGGAAATCGAAACCCGGCTCTCGACCTCCACTGTCTCTAGCAGAGGCGGGGATGTCTCCGCCTCGGTCTACGTCACCTCGGCGCAGCAGGAGCACCAGCAGCAGACAGACGACGAGAGTAAACTCCCCTCCACCACCAAACCTCTTGCCAGCAGCATGTCGCAGATCGCCATAACACACGGCCCCCGGCCGGACCTGCCGGCCTTCATTGCGGGCTATACGTCTCCGTCCAGCGCGCGCGGGAAGCGTGTAGGCATCTTCGCCTGCGGTCCGGCGAGCATGCTGCACGATGTGCGGAATGCGGCTGCGCGGGCGCAGCGGGATGTCCTGGGGGATGGGGCGGAGGAGGTGTATCTGCATCTGGAGCCTTTCTCGTAAGTACCTGCTTGCTGACATCGACATCGACCTCGACAACTTGCTAATATGCCCAGATGGTAATCACTTGTATTGCGGGTAGCGGAGACGTGATAGCTCTATATCTATCTATCTATCCAACCAAAAATCAAATCATTATCAGCTGTATACATATCATGACTATGACACGGGCTATACAATCCCAAATCTAACCCAGAAAGAAAGGTAAAATGAATCTATCCCAACGCCAACGCCAATGCGGTCGAGCATCAGATCAAAAATACCTACCTCAAGAGGAAGAAGACAAGCTCCGCATCAACCCATCCCTCATCCTAACATTGACCACCCCACCAACCCCATAAGCAGGAACAATCTTGCCCATCCGCGCAAAACAACTCGCCACATAATCCCTCCTGATCCGGCCCACCCTCTCCCTCCACCCCAGCCCACCAACAGGCTGCCGATTATACAGATCCAAACCAAGCAGATGCATCGGCGTGCTCACAAACTGCATCAGCGCCGGACACGTAAACTGCGCCAGCGCAGATTTCGTGCCGGGCGTTGCGGCAAGGTAGTCCGGGATGCTCGGCGCAAGCAGCGCGGGGACATTAAACGACGCGAAGATGGTGATGCTGTCGCGGAGGCAGAAGAGTCCGTAGCTGACCTTTGGGACCTTTAGGGCTGAGCTGCTAGATGGGTGGCATGTCGCTTGGCCTCCTCCTCCTCCTCCTCCTCCCCCGGTTGTCGTAGACGTAGACGTAGACGGGGCGCTATTGCCAGCACCGAAAATCCTCGCAAACCGCGCATCCTTGTACACGCATATCCCCATATTCACAGCCGTGGTAGTCAGGAACTTGGCCGTGCCGGGGAAGACAGTCTCAAAGGGCTTATCGCGGAGCGTGGAGGTCAGGGTATCGATAGCGTTGGCGGTGAGGTACGTCGAGGTGTAGAGGGTATAGATGAGTAGAAACGGGGTGCTTGTGAAGAAGGCCGCGGGGTGGGTGAGCATCGAGCGGAAGCAGGATGCGAGGGTGCTGCGGATGGGGAGGCCCTTGGCGGCTTTTTCGATGATGGCTCTGATCGGATCATATCATGTTAGTCACAGAACAAGAGAGGACAAGGGGATGGGGACGAATACCGGTCGATGACTGTGATGACGGGGCAGGTTAGTGCTCCTGCTGTCATTGCGCTGGCGACGTCTACGCCGAGGCGCATGCCTAGCTTGTCTGTGTTCCATTTTGATGTGGACGAAGCTGAGGCTGAAGTTGTCGGTGTCGTTGACGATTTCAAGGGCCGTTCTGCGGCTGGACCTGGTATGGTGACGGGGCCATCTGGGGAGAGGGCATTCCGTGGCATAATCTGCTGTGATTTGGTCGATTGTAGAGTAAACAGTGAGGCTGCCGGCACAAGCAGGTCTGTAACGGAGATATGCGTAGGCGACAGAGATTTGCAGTCAATCAATTACAAAGAGCCGTATGCCTCTAATACTCAATATCGCCAGCGATTGCATCCTGACTGATCTGGGGGAAACAATTACGCTGACGACTCTGACTGTATCGCGGACGAGAATGCCCCGGGCCCGATACATTCGGGGCGTCCTCCGATGCCGGCTGTCGGCTGACAAGGTGCAATCACCCGGTTTAAGACTCAATTTTAAGATAAGATCACTTAGGTCTACAACCTACAATGGAGTATCGTACGTTAAATTAACCAGATTTATGTTCTGTAATAACCGAGACATATTTTGTAAACCTCAACGCCAATGATATCGCCCGAAATCGAACATAAGACCGTACCCACTATTTGCAAACATCACGCAGAGGTCGTTGATTCACTGGGTACGTTCGCTTCGAATCCATCGAGAGTAATGTTGACTGCACCGGCTTGAACGAGCTATTACACACGTAATTAGTATTGGAACTGTGCGGGAAAAGAGCAAGAGGACTCTTACCGCCCGCCGCAAATCATCAATGAGATCGTCTACATCCTCAATACCAACGCACAGCCGGATCAAATCTTCCGGCATCGCTCGCTCCTGTCGCGTCTTTGCGTCAATACTGGCATGGCTCATACGACAGGGCATGCTGATCAGACTGTTGACACAGCCGAAGCTGACACTGATCGCCCACAGCTTGGCGCTCTCGACGATGCGCTCGCTGATGGCGACATCGCCCGTCTCAAACGACAGCACCGCTCCGGCGCCCCGCGCCATGGAGTGGTGCAACTCGTACTGCGGGTGAGACCGCAGCCCGGGGTATCGGACTTTGAACCCATGGGATTCGAGAAACTCGGCAATGCGCTGCGCGTTGGATTGCTGCTGGTCCATCCGCACCTTGAGCGTCTTGACACCACGCATCAACAGCCACGAGTCAAAGGGAGACAGGCCGCATCCGGACGCGTTGATGGGGAAGTACAGCCGGTCCCCAAGAGCAAGGTCGTTCACGGCAATGACGCCGGCCATGAGATCGTGATGACCAGACAGGTACTTGGTTCCACTTTCATAAACAATATCCGCGCCGAGTTCGAGAGGGTTCAACAGCAGCGGAGACATCATAGTGTTGTCTACCGCCACCAAGCAACTCGGGCTGATCTCGTGCGCCGCCGTGGCAATCTGGGGGATATCGACGATCTTGATTAGGGGATTGGTTGGCGTCTCGAGCAAGACCATGGCTGTCTTGGGACTCAACACCTCACGAACTTTCTCCGGCTGCGTAGTATCGACATGGTGGACGATGATGCCGCCGTTGGTCGACAGATATTTCAAAAGACGATGCGTTCCGCCGTAGAGGTCGTCACCCGTCACCACCTCGTCGCCCGGACGAAGCAGCCGGGAGATCACATCCAAAGCAGCCATACCGGATGAAACGACTAGCGCACGCTGCGCGGACATGATCTTGGCGAGGTGTCGTTCGAGGTGAGTTCTGGTGGGATTGCCGGAGCGAGTGTAGTCATATTCTCCGCCGCCGCCGCCCGAGGTCTGCTTAAACGTGGCGCTCTGCTTCAATCAGTATACTCTCGTCGGATGAGTGGCCTCGCATCGAAGACGCACCTGGTAGATAGGAACGCTGCTGGCATTGTACTGGTCGTTGCTGTCGGTATATACAAGTTCTGTGGCAATTGCATATCGTTTGCCTGTCCGAGGACTGGAGGGAGCAGGAGACGGAGGGAGATTGTGTCCCTCAAGGTCAACGTGAGGGAATGCCTTCTTCATAGCATCGGTGGCCGCAGGCACAGCACCAGAACCAGAACCCGAGGCCGACATCGCTTGCGGGGCGGGAAAGTAGCGGGGAAGCAAGGAGTGTAGAATTGATCGGGAAGATTGAAACAATCAAACCATAGGAAATAACTGAGACTCTAGAGATTGATATTGCACTCACACTGTCAAATATCAAAGATCAATGAACAAGGGATAGAAAAGAATGGATGGAAACGGAGGGAGAACAACGACTGGAAACTAAGCCTGGGGGATCTCCAGAAGAGTCAGACGAGTGGATTGTTGCTTGCCGTAGCGGGAAAGGATGCTTCGGCGCCGCTGCCCTGTGATTGGCTGAGGCCCGCAGTCCGCGATTTCGTCATCGGCTATTCCAGTTGAGGACTAGCGCGCTGACTCATAGCTAATGCCTGAGGCATACTGATTCCATATCAACGTTCAGAGATCGGCCATTCGCTATAGGCATTAAATAGGCATCGGCAACATGCGAGTATATACATATATCAATTCCGCGTAATCCGTCCTTCCCATCGTACTCCTTCCTTATACCTTTTGAAACTGGCTCCGTCGCCGTGGGTCTGCAGACAGCACCATCAGAACCACAAGAAATACGTCAAATTAGGCAAACATGGCCTTGCCGGAGAAAGCAGAGAAAGAATCATAAAGTCACTACGGCAATGGCTGCAACTTGCACAGCCAGAGAATCGATGTTATACATGTCGCAAGATCAAGGCATCCATCATCTGTGAGAAATCAGCGGTGTCATGTTGCCATTTCTCCAAAGCTCCCATTGATGCCAAAGAATTGGAACCTAAGAACAGCTAAAGTCAGTAACGACGCCTCAGGCATCTTTGATAGAAACATACCAGTCTTCGACATTCAGTGTCGTGGGAGCCGTTGGTCCACTTCGTGAACTGCTACTCCAGTTGTCATCTTGACTAGTATTGTCCATTCCAGCGGCATTCAACGGCGGCTCTAAGCCTTGCATGGGCCATCCATGCTGATTTTCCAATCCAAACATTTGCTGTGGCTGGCCACCTTGCAGGCCCATTCCCGGTGGCAGGCCCGACATCAGCTCTGGACTGGAAAGGTTACGTCCCGGCATCTGTGGCGTTTGGTTCACCATCATGGGACGTTGCTGCATACCCTGTGATTGCAATTGCGGTTGCATTTGTAGTTGCGGGTCGACAGTGTGGTTCTGCGGAGATGCCAACTCGGGGAATATGGCCGTGCCATCAGGGAACAACTGGTCTGGCTGGAAGTTCTCCCAGAGAGACGGGGAGAGGTTGGGCGAAGTACGTGTGACAAGGAAAAGGTCTGGAGGCGTTGCAGGTAGCGAGAAGTGACCATTGAACGGCGTTGTCGGTCGAGTATTGCTTCGGGAATTGCCTGGCATTGTATGTTGAGGGGCAGTAGGGGACCCTTGCGGCACGCTGATCCCGGGAGGTTGTCCCAGTTCTCTGGATGGTGTGACGGCAGGTGTCTGTGGCCGAGATCGTTCGTACGAAACCGGCGGTGTAGGACCCCCGTTTGGCAAACCAATATCCATGTCGTCGAATTTCCGCTTCGGCGGATCAGGTTTCTTCGCAGGATGCTGTTGCGTCGTCTCGGGCCGTACTCTCTGGTGTCTCCTGCCAGCAGCTTTTTGAAGACGTTCTTCGAGAACTTTGTTGCCCAAGATTGACTCGAACAGCGTGTGAACCATTTTCGCCACCAGCCAAACCTTGGACACGTCTTTCAAGGCTTGCATGCAGATGTTGATTCTCTCCTGGCACGTCGCCACAATAGACGGTACTGATGACCGCATTTGGTAGACGTGCATGATCAATGCCGAGAACAAGCTATAGACTCTGCTGGAAGTTAGCAGGAGGCAGTCAATATCACGAAAAGGGAAGACCCACATGAACGCAGGAGCATATCGGATTTCTTGATGAGTCTGTAGATTTTCGACGATAGAGGTTATCATCCCTGCAGCTTGGAAGGCAATCGTACGAGACGGATACGCCATCTCCTCTACACGGTAGCTGTTGGGCGCCGACGAAGCAGGAGGCATGTGTGCCCGATGCAGGAGACAGAGGGTGGTGCTTTGCTCATTAGCCATGGCCATCCAAAGATGAGATACGCTTTGCACTCACTAGTAGTTCGCATGAAGAAGAGCTGCCAAGAAGTGATGCCGGGACTTCTGCCAGCAGACCTCCTTTGGGCAATTCTGAAGCCAGTCTGCCAGGGCCATATCGGAATGCGTCAAGTCCATGGCGTTCATCCTCCGAGATTTGGACGCCACAGAGTATTGTTGAGATAGCACTAGGCCCATGATTTCGCACAGCTTGACATATTGAAGGAAGAACTGTACGTGTACAGGGTCTGGAGGGTACTCGGCGACGCTGTCGATCTCGTCCTCAACGAAATCGTCCTCGGTCAACATGCCCACGTCTGAGTCGTCGGTGTTGATTCCGATCGGCCGACCGAGGGCAACTGCCACGGATCGGTCTCTGGTGAAGAGAGTCCACCAAATACGCTTCCATAATCTCTTGTCTGGCTTGCTGAGTTGAGATGTTTCCACGCTGCGACCGTAAGCCACCGAGCCGAAGTTATCATAGGGAAAGAAGGTCATACCTTCGGTGCATGCCGGAGCCTTGTGCGACGACCATTGCAACTCTTGTCCAGTAGAAGACGTTCTTTGTCACGTCTGTAGGAAGTTAGAACAGGCCGAGTCTCAGACAAAGCAAACAGACAAACCTTCGGGACCTTCCCAGTACCAGCCTAGGAGAACAAGGGCCTGAACAATCGTGACGCGGTCGTCTTCATAATTGGCATCATAAAGTGCTTTCGCCCGTTTATAGAATGTCATTGCAGCGGGGGTGGTGGAGCCGTTCGCATCCATAAGTTGGGGATTCGTGCAAACCCTCGAGCCAGCGAGAAGGATGGCCTGCAGTAGAAGCAAAGAAGGTGGGTTCTTCGGATCGCGATATTGTCGCATGAAACGACTGCGATTGACGATGGGGACGATGGGTGCGACCCATTTGAAATAAGCTTCGACAAGCTCGTCACAGAGAGGTTTTGGAGGCAGCAAGAAAGCACCACGCTGGTGGAGAATGTCGAGTTCGAGGTTGTCGAGGTCCGTCAACCGAGCACGCGATCCTCT